GCGGCAGTTTGTCAACAGGAAGTTAATGGAGTTTTTTTTTCACATTTTCCTGATTCCTCACACATTGTGTAGATGCTAGCACCACGGAAGCTACAGTTAGCTATCTAGCCAATCAGAGACACTTGAAGTTAATGGAAAAAGTGTCTTAGCTTCAGTTAACAGTATTTCTATCTTCATATGCTATTGTTAATGCATTTGACGTCAACACCCAAATTCGGGATTACACGTTTGGAAAGCTCTGATTTATTTGGTAGTAGAAAACGTAGAAAAAGAGACTTAAACCCAATTAAAAGAAACTTAAAGTCAATAAGAGAGATTTAGCCCCAGTTAAAAGAGACTTAAACCCAATTAAAAGAGACTTAAACCCAATTAAAAGAGACTTAGCCCCAGTTAAAAGAGACTTAAACCCAATTAAAAGAGACTTAAACCCAATTAAAAGAGACTTAAACCCAGTGAAACCCACAGTTGAATGGGATGTCATCAATGCCATATGGTCGATTAACAGTCCTTTTTAACCCTTTCAACAAACCGTCTTGAGGCGGCCAACGCTCTCAAGTCTCATAAAGGAAAATGAAACCTTGTTTCCTCTCCTCTGTGATCAAACTGTCTCCTTCCTCCTCCTCCTCTTCCTCCTCCTAGCTAACGTAGCCAAACAGAGAAGATTCAGACCTCACGAGGACCAGAGACTGAACCAGGAAGTTAACCTCGAACTGAACCAGGAAGTTAACCTCGAACTGAACCAGGAAGTGATCCAGGACTGTTATTAAGGACTTCCCCTCAGTAGGACTACAACACTAGAACTACAACTGTAGGACTACAACAATAGGACTACAACTACCACATCACTGTTATTGTCTCTCTGTCTACCTCCTCCTCCTGAAGGCACCTTGATTCTGATTTCCACCGCTCTGTTTTTCCCTGATTCTCAACTCTCTCTCTCTCTCCGCGGTCCAGAGTCTCCTCACGTCTTTTGATTTCCTCACTCAGATTTTAACGGACAGTTCTCAGGGCGCAGTCGCACTTCCGGACGGTTTTATACGAGCCGAAGAGGACTGGATGAACTCCTTGTTGTATTTTTGTATTATGGCGTTGGGAAGTTTGTGGTTTCTGTCGTTATAAAAGTCTTGTACACTTTGTCTCAGCAGGACCTCAAAGAGAGTTCAGAACCAGTTCCTCTGTTATTAACTCGTGCTGTTCCAACAGGAAACAGGAAACAGTATTCCTGTAGTTTACACATTTCCAACACGTCTGCGGCTCTAAATCTGGGACCAAAATCACTCCAGAGAAATGATCACTAGATTGAAATGTCTGTGCTTCTTTACCTTTCTCCTATCTCTCTTGTTGCCTTATTTAGTTTGATCTACTTTCTACTCATTTTTTAAGCCATAACCTTCGCCTCAAATTCAAAAACCATATAGTTCGCAATAGATGTACTGGTTTCTAATAAAACAAAGAATTCTGATCAATTAGAAAATATGCAGCAACACCTCAGATTGACGCAGATTTTCCCAACGACTGAATCCTGACGTAAAAACAATGAAAACAAATAAAGTAAAATTGTATTTATTTTAAAAATATGTTTTTCCATGTATTTACACAAAACCAGAAATCTATGAAATTATCAACAGATTAAAAAATAAAACAAAATGTCAGTCGCAGCTCGACCCCTCCCCCCCTCGGTGCCGTCACAGACGTGTTGGAAATATTCATTTTTATTTATTTATTTATTTGATTTCCGACATGATGAGGAAACGTTCCCTCTGCGGGAGAAACAGAAACAAGCGCCCCCTCCCCCGGGTGGGGTTACAGGGGGGGTTGGGGGGCGTTTGATGTGTGTGTGTGTGTGTGTGAGAGTGTGTGTGTGTGAGAGAGTGTGTGCGTGTGAGAGAGTGTGTGCGTGTCCTCCTCCTGTATTCTGTCTGTCACCTCCTCCTGTGCAGAATTATAATAAAGCGTTTCAAAGAGCAGTGTGTGTGAGCGTGATACACACACACACACACACACACACACCACACACACACACACACACACACACACACACACACACACACACACACACACACACACACACACACACACACACACACTCTGCGGGAATGTGTCAGGGAATTGCATCATGTGTGTGTGTGTGTGTGTGTGTGTGTGTGTGTGTGTGTGTGTGTGTGTGTGTGTGTGTGTGTGTGTGTGAGACGGAGAGAGCAGGCATGAAAATTAACAATATGTTTGTTTGTGTGTGTGTGTGTGTGTGTGTGTGTGTTGTGCCTCTGCCACAAGATGAAAGGTGTGTGTGTGTGTTTCTCTGTGTGTTTGTGTGTGTTATCAGAGATAGAGAGAAAGGCTGGTTGTCCCTGACGACGGTGATCTGCGTGTTGCCTGGCAACAGCTAACAATGGCCCACCACCAGTGTTCTAGAATGTGGGCGTGGCCTAATGAAGGAGGGGGGGGGGGCTCCCTGCTGCGGCTGCTGTTCGTCTGCAGGTAAACACCTGAGAGGAGATGTATTACTATTCATTTAAACTAAATATAAGAAAGGTGATGAAGGCGGTGTTAGATATGATCATCAAACCTCTGAAGTGTTTTATTAACTCTGAGAAACTTTATATTTTCACTCGTTGTGAAGTTAAATGTCAGTTGGAACACTTTAGAATGTAGCCGTCGCTCGATCACGTGATGATGAAGGACTCGTGTGATTGGACGACAAAGGTTCCAGTTTCTTGTCGGTGACTCTTAGCTCAGTGTTGAGTCTCAATGTTTATTTAAAGTGGACCTATCATGCTATATTTGAACAATATATTGTAGGGCCATAAAGTATATAAATATAGGTTTTTTTTCAAAATACCAAACAGATCCTGCATTTTAAGCCATGCCTCATTTCGCTCCATTTGCACTTTCCAGCACTGTTGTTGCAGGGGGCTGATTCTGTGAGCTGCAGCTGACCACGCCCCCCTGCAGGAGAGGGGAGACGTGCTCTGATCAGCTGCTGGGCTGTCAGAAGAGGGGGAGAAAAAGAGATCTCCGTCCTCCGTGTTTTATTATATTATTATATAGAGTCATTATTCATTTGTTTTAAAGCTCAATAAATAACAAAGAAGACCTTTGACCGGCACTTTTCTAATTTTGTCCGGAAGATTTAAACTTTAACGGACATCTTGACCGGCGAAAGAAACTGAAACTGAAACTCTGCCGCACGGTCCCCTCGTTCCTTGGAAGAGGCGGAGAGGTGGGTGTTTGTCATCTGCTGGTGGACTAACCGGAGAGAATTACAGTGCTTGCCTCGACGGGGAGGGATTGCATTGAATTAAAGCAGCGGGAGCAAACGCTTGCCTCGGGGAGGGAGAAAGAAAGCCACAGCGGAGAATAAACAGAAGGGTAACCATGGTAACTATGGGCGGGAAGTCTTCTTCGCTGCTTTTGTGGCAGACTACAGCGCCACTTACAAGCCTGGCATATGTACTACAGCGTCTCCAGCGCTTTCGAGCAGCAATGGCCGGCCGTGGCCCAACCCCACATTCCCCTGATAGGTGGAGAGTTGGCCCAATAGCCGTAGCGCCACCGTCCTGACGTCAGGACAGTGTTCAAATCTGGATCAGTTTTTATCAGATCCGTTGCAGCCCCTTTTTTAGAGATTTGGGTATGGAGGAAAATAGAGAGGGTTGTGTTTTCTGACACTTGGTGAGTTCCCTGGAACACCGGGGACACATATTCATGTATAAAAGACGTACAAAAGTGCATTTTGCATGATAGGTCCCCTTTAAATTATAAAGAAAAGGGGAATATTTTGGATGAAAAAGGCGTATTATTTTTTCAGGGAAAACTCGAACAAACTTGATAATAAAAATAAAAATAAATCATATTTTTTTAAATGTGTTAAGGGAAAATAAAAGATAAAAAGTAGTGATATTTCGAGAAAATTGTCAGTTTAAGTTATAAATGTCTGAGAAAAGAAAAAGTGTAATAATTACAGAAAATAAGTTCAAATATTTCACAGAAAATATTAAAAAAATTATCTCGAGTTTAGAAAAAAACCCTTGATTTAAGTTGAATACTTTATAGAAAAAGGCGGTAATATTTGGAATAAAAAGACATAACATTTGAATATTTTAGAGAAAACGATGTTAATATTAGTGGTGAGATATGTATTTTTTTTGCCATTACACAAATTCATAGAAAAATAAGGAGAAATACACAATATAATAAAGTGTGTCTGGATGTGTGCGTGTGTGTGTGTGTCTGGATGTGTGCGTGTGTGTGTGTCTGGATGTGTGTGTGTGTGTCTGGATGTGTGCGTGCGTGTGTGCGTGCGTGGCCATTTAATGGACCGCTGATAGTCTTAATTAGTGTGAGAGTGTGTGTGTGTGTGTTTGTGTGTCTCCATGGAGGCTCGTTATCCTCTCAGTCTCCTGAGGAGAACGTGAAGGACACGAGGAGGAAGAGGATAAGAAGAAGAGGGCTCCCTCTGCTGGTGAGAAACGCGAACTGCACCTCAGGAGTTTTGTTAAAAATATTGGGAGGAAAAAGTCCAAATATTGTTTTAGAAATCGTCAAATTAAGTGTAACATTTCTGATATTAAGAGGAAAAAAAGGTTGGAAATTGGAACAAATATCTCAAAATATACTGTTCTAAATATACTGTTATATTCTGATAAAAGTAATACAAGTAACACAAATGGTTTAATATTTGAGATAAGTAAAAAAAAAATTGAATGAAAAATAAGTTTAATATCTCAGAGATAAGTTAAGTTTAATATTCAGATTTTAAAAAATGCTGTAAAATGTGTTGAAATATTTACATAAAAAATATGGCAAGACTAAAAGTCTTAAATCAAGAAAACAGTAAATTAAAGTTGAATATTTATAAGAGAAAAGTAAACCCGTCAGAAATGTCATATTTTTTTTAAATCGTCAAGAAAAGTGGAATATTTGAGAGAAAAATAAGTCCTGATATCTGAGAAAAATATTGAAAAGTGCCTCAATAGAAGTTTATATTTATTAGGAATCACTTTCTGAACAAACCTTTATTGAACACATTCATACACTTTACACAACAGGAAATTAAAACTTTATAAAAAACTTGTTTTAACTTTTACTCAACCCTTGATTTATTTTCAACACTTGTGGTGACCGAGTCAAACCAACCAATGAAAGAAATTCAGTGTTTATTTATTTTAAACCTCCATATACATTTCCACCCTTGATAATCTATGGAGAAGTATTTGGGGCCAAAAAATAAAAAAAATTGGGATGAAACCAAAAGTAAAAATGTCAACTTCTGTCATTTTGCTCAGAGTTCTGAAAAAAAAAATCTAGTTTTTAGGTCTTTAAAAAATTAAAATCTTAGAATTTCTTAAAAATGTCGACTTTTCTAAAATCTTTTTTTTTAATTATTACTTTTGGTCACATCCACAAACATGTGGCCCTGAAGACAGATTGTTCAATAACAAAATTACACTTGATTTATTTCGCCCCTCTTTTTAAACTAAGTTAACAGCCTCACGAAAGGCCTCATGAGCACATTTTAAATCAACACATTAACAAAGTAAAAAAAATCAGCAGTTACTTATTTCACTACATTTCAGGTGTGTGTTCTACGTGGCCGAGTCTGAATGGGCGTCAATGGGTGAGTTTGAGTTCCACTGGTTCTCCACGTGATTGTCCGCCCTAGAGTTTTTTAGATGAGAGTCAATGGGGAGACTATTCTGCGAAAGAGCGTCAGTGGGGAACCTATTGTGGTGGTTTTGAGGCTTTGAGTGGGAGTCAATGGTAGCCTCGGACTGAGAACTGCACTTTTGACGTGATGTCTGGAAGGTAGCGGCGGTTAAGGCAGTGTGGTTAAAGTGTGAGCTTGAAGGATGTGTGTTAATGGGGGAAAAGGGACTCGTATGATGCAAGTCAACGGGTGTCAGGCGCCCATGAGGCAATGCATCCCCATGATTGACTAACAACGATGCTTTGTTGTTCGTCAGTCCTTTAGAAGTTGTGCTGAAAGAGTGGAAGTCACCGGTAGATTCTGGACTTTTAGGATGCAAGTCAATGGGTGACCACCTGCCACTTGTAGCCGGTGTTAACACTGATCTTGAAAGCCTTTCTGACAATTTATCTCTCTTACTGGAAGAGTGGAAGTCAGCGGTATATTTGGGAATTTTAAGATGCCCGTCAATGGGTGATAACCTGGGAGCTGTGGTTGGCATTGAGCTATCTCTAGAAGTTGAAAGACTTACTGGAAAGTTATCTTTCTTACTGGATGTTTGTAGGTCAACGGTAGATTTGGGACTTATAGGATGCAAGTCAATGGGTGAATAGCTTCTTCTGGGAGCCGTTTTTACCTCCGAGTTAGCTCTAGAGGTTGAAAGACTTTCCAAAAAGTTATCTCTCCAACTTAAAGAGTGGAGGTCAGCGGTATGTTTCGGACTTATAGGATGCAAGTCAATGGGCGAATAGCTGCTTCTGGGAGCCGTTTTTACCTCCGAGCTAGCTCTAGAGGTTGAAAGACTTTCCAAAAAGTTATCTCTCCTACTTAAAGAGTGGAGGTCAGGGGTATGTTTTGGACTTTTAGGATGCAAGTCAATGGGTGAATAGCTGCTTCTGGGAGCCGTTTTTACCTCCGAGCTAGCTCTAGAGGTTGAAAGACTTTCCAAAAAGTTATCTCTCCTACTTAAAGAGTGGAGGTCAGGGGTATGTTTTGGACTTTTAGGATGCAAGTCAATGGGTGAATAGCTGCTTCTGGGAGCCGTTTTTACCTCCGAGCTAGCTCTAGAGGTTGAAAGACTTTCTAAAAAGTGATATCTCTTACTTGAAGAGTGGAGGTCAACGGTATGTTTTGGACTGTTAGGATGCATGTCAATGGGTGACAACCTGTTGCTTGGAGCTGTTGATGGCGCATATCTACCTCTAAAGTTATCTCTCTTACTGGAAGAGTGGGAGTCAATTGGTGGGAATGCAGCGATGGATGAAACAAACACAGGCGGTGATTTGTCGTTACAGAAAACTCCTGAGAAATCTTCTCCACCCCGGCTGGAAGGATGGAGGTCAATGGGTGAAACATGACAGTAATCTGGTCTCAGAGTCTTATTCCTAGAGTCGGCGTTAGCTAGCTTCTCATTGGACCATCCAGTCTTGGCCGTGTGGCATTCAAAGGGAGATGAAGAATTCACAGGATGCAAGTCAACGGTTGAAGATGAGGTTTCCTTTGCGGGCGGGATCAAGTTGAAATCCAGATGTGATAAGCAAGCAGCACTTGTGGAGCCAGTTTCAGAAGAAGAAGAAGAATGGGAATCAATGGGAGGTTTTTGACTCGTGGAATGGACGCTGACTTTAGAAGAATGGGAGTCAATGGCTGAACTAGTGGAGGCCAGCTCTCCTCTCAGAGCCAGAGCGCTCGTGAAATGTTTTTTCAGCGTTGAGATGGGCGGGATGGCGCGATTACCTTGAGACACGTCAATGGTGGGATTTGAATGGAGGTCAATGGGAGAAATCGGCGACAGGTGTGGACTCCCGGCGTCTTTGTGTTTTAACGGCGGCGGCGTGTTTCTGTTGTACGTCCGAACGGGACTCGCCTGTTTTAAGAGAGGCGGGACTTCCTTTTCTTTTAACCGCTCAAAATAAGTCAACGGGTGGGTGGCGTTACGATACGTCGGCGGGTCGAAGTCCCGATGATCGATATCGTCGTCCCTTAAAAAGCGATTTCTTCTGGAATCACGTGGCTCAAAGTTCAACGGATTCAATTTAGCCGTATTGATTCCCTGCAGGTCGTTGAGGATCCTCGCTAACAAGCGGCTGTCAGAAATCGACTTTCTTTTAAGTGATGAATTTGTGACCTCCGCGTCATCGGATAAATCGGATGTTCTGATTGGCTCCTCGTCCAATGAGGACCCGCCCACTTCAAAGTTTTCCACATCGATGTCACTGTTGATGGCGATTGGATCCAGGATGTCGACGGGAAGATCGCCGATTTCACCGCTCAAAGCCCCGCCCACTCCGGAGGAATGGACCAATGGGAGGGGAGGAAGGTCTGAGAAGTCAACGGTCTGCTGGCTACTGATTGGACTGCTGCTGCAGCTGCTGTTGTTGTTGTTGTTAGCCTCGTGGCTGCTGTCGCTATCCAGCGTGATGATGACCGGAGAACTAAAGAAACAAAAAGAGTTTATAGCATTTTCATTTTTACAGATTATGACAACTCGTTTTACAACAGCAGTCAAACCGGGCTTTCCACTGAGCACTAACCCGACCTCTGCACTCATGGGCGTCATTTCCACTGAGCACTAACCCGACCTCTGCACTCATGGGCGTCATTTCCACTGAGCACTAACCCGACCTCTGCACTCATGGGCGTCATTTCCACTGAGCACTAACCCGACCTCTGCACTCATGGGCGTCATTTCCACTGGGGACATTCTAATGGCTTTTTGATGATTGAAATATATACAGTTCTGTTTCATATGAGTGTTGAGAGCTGTATCCATACATCTCTTCATGTTGCCCTCAAAGTGCACCAGATTCATGCATTCAACTTCAATTTAAAGAAATAATCTTCCCGGGGTGCATGCCCTCAGACCCCCCTAGAGGAGGTGAGGTCCCCCCCCGGACCCCCCTAGAGGATGTGAGGTCATCACAAATAAAACAGGTTCACATGGAGAGGATACTAGATAAGTGTGCACACTCATTATATACACTACACATTTTTCTTGGACTTGTTAACACCATAGTCCCTAATATATTTGTAGAAAGGCAGGAAATGGAATTAAATTGAGAAAATGTTTCATTGCGGAGGACCCCCTGTTTTGTGTCCCCCCCACTTCTCAAACCAAAGTTGCACCCTTGTCTGCACGACACAACTGATGCTCTCAAACACATTGAGAAGGCAAGTAACTCCACACATTGACTCAAGGCACACGTGTTAATAGAAAACCATTCCAGGTGACGCCCTCATGAAGCTGACTGAGAGAAGCCCCGAGAGAGCAGAGCTGTCATCGAGGCAAACGGGGCTACTCTGAAGAATCTATAATATAAATCATATTCTGGGTTTTTTAACACTTTTTTGTTCACTAGATAATTCCATGTGTGTTCTTTCATAGATTTGATGTCTTCAGTATTAATCTATAAAGTACAACAAAATAAAATATATAAAAACCTTCGAATGAGAAGGTGTGTCCAAACTTTTGACTGGTACTGTACATTATATATTTAGTTATATTTGAATGAATCAGTTTAGTACCTGCTGTGCTGGGTCTTGCGTTGGCGTTTCCTGCGGCGTTTCCTAGCGGGGGGGTGTGCTGCGTTGGGGGGGATGGTTCCCTCGTAGATGATCTCAACGCTGGGACTGCGATCCTCTCGTCTCCTGCTGGAGGACGACAAACAGATTTTTCAAAATAAAAAAATATATTTTTCAAAATAAAAAAATATATTTTTCAAAATAAAAAAATATATTTTTCAAAATAAAAAAATATATTTTTCAAAATAAAAAATATATTTTTCAAAAATAAAAAAATATATTTTTCAAAATAAAACAACTATCTTTAAAAATAAAACACATTTTTCACATAAAAAATATATTTTTCTAAATTAAAAAAATCTTGTTCTAACTTAAACAATTATTCTACGTCACAAAACAAAACAATATTTTTTCTAAATAAAACAATTATTTTCTAAATCACTGTATTGTATTTTGAAAATCCAATAAATGATTCATTTTCTTTTTCTAATCCCCGCCCCCTCACCTCTCCTTCCTCTCCTCGTCCTCCCGGCTCCTCCTCCGGCGCTCCTTGTCCTCCCGCGGCCGCCATGTGGGGTCCTTCTCATCGTGGTCCAGATGGCGGCTTTTATATTTCCTCTTCCCTCCCGGTTTCTCCCCGTGGTTTTCCATGGGGGAGGAAGAGGAAGAGGAGGATGATGAAGATGACGAAGAGCCGTCCCAGTTAGAATCCGGCGGGCTGGACTCGGCGCTGGAGGAGCGGCGGCGCATCATGGCGGGAAAGATAGAACGATTCGGGTTGAACAAAGTGCCGCTCGTCTTCCTCTTCCTCCTCTTCGTCTTCTTCTTCTCTTTCCTGTCTCTCTCGGGGGACGACCACGAGCCGCCATCTTTGTTACAGCCAGGAGCGGGAGGAGGGATTGTGGGAGATTGAGGAAGAGGAGGAGCGACGGCAGGAAGTTCCTCCTCTTCATCTTCCTTCTTCTTCTCTTCCTCCTCCTCCTCCTCCTTCTCCTCCTCTTCCTCCTTCTTCGTCTTCTCCTCCTCTTCCTCACTATCTGACGTCAGCTGCACCAGCTCCGGCGTCCGCTCTGCGATCGGCTTCTTGTACCCAACGATCAAACACTCCTCTTCCTCTTCTCCCTCTTCATCCTTCCCTGCCGCCTCCTGATTGGCCGGGCTCAGAGAGTAGGAGGGGCCTGGCGTCTCGTCGTCCCACGCCGCCAAACTGAGGCAACTTCCTGTCGGGAGTTCATCGTTTCCCGCCTCTTCTTCGTCCATTTCCTCGTCTTCCTCTTCTTCTGAAATAGCGATAACGGACCCGTCACTACTGTCATCGTTTAGCTGCACGATAGCATCGTCCGGCGGCTCGTAAACTGCCTCAAGATCGTAGCTTTCCAACGCTAACGGCGAGCTTGCGAAGCTAACCATTTCGTGCAGGAAGTGGTTTGTTCGCGCCAACAGGAAGGGGCGTAACTCTTCTTCTATGGTGTTCTGGTCCTCCAGGCCGTGTCGTTGAAGCCTCGCTGTAACGATTCTCTGCACGATATCCACTAAGGACGTGTGAACACCGTAAAGCACCGTTAGCTCGCGGCGCAGCCAGGGGCGGAGCCTTTCCAAGGGGGCGGGGCTTAGGCGAAAGCTGTCGGCTGTGATGTCACGCGGCAGCAGCTCAGCGGAGACGCCGGCGACCCCGTGCACTCGCACGCCGAGACGATAGAGCGAGCGCCGAAACGCCACGGTCTCTCGATCCCTGAGGCGCCGCACCGCCCCCCCGACGCGCTGCAGGCGGCGGCGAGACACCAGGCGGGACGTCAGGCGGCGAGACGCACGGTCGCCGGGGTCAACGGGGGGGTCGCCGGGGGGTACGAGGCCCGACAGACCCTCGAAGATAACGCCTCGATCCAACGCCTCGTCAACGTCCTGCAACAAGAGAGAGAGAGAGAGCGAGAGAGCGAGAGAGAGAGAGAGAGAGGGTATATTGTTAGTTTATCTAGGAGTAGTTACTTGATCCTGATTGGTCCACATCGTTGGCTCTTTAATTGCTGTAACATGCTGGTATATTGTGACTGCTCTGATCACTAATCACTAATCACTAATCATTAATCACTAATCACTAATCACTGATCACTAATCACTAATCATTAATCACTAATCACTAATCACTAATCACTAATCACTGATCACTAATCACTGATCACTAATCACTAATCACTAAACTCACCTCTTCAGACCTGCTTTTAATCTGTAATGTTGTGTTTTATATATTTCAAGTTGTGTTGTCTTTGGGTAGATGTTCAGGTTCAGGTTCAGGTTCAGGTTCAGGTTCAGGTTCAGGTTCAGGTTCAGGTTCAGGTTCAGACTCAGACTCAGACTGGAGGGCAGTAGGCATTGATGCACTAACTACATTACTACTTGCACTACATTTGAACCATCAGTTCTTCCTCATTCTCCTCAATTGTTCATATTTGGTTTATTTAAATAATGATATTGTGGTCTGCTATTATCATTATTATGAGTGATGTTATTAGTATAATGCGCTCTCTGCCTTCCTGTCATCAGGAGATAGACATGTCATAGATTAGAGCCTTCATTCTCTGCTGGGACATTTCCCTGAAGCCAATGCCTTTATATGTTCTACTGTTCACGTGTCAGCAGGTCGGCATGGACGCACAGAGCCGACCATACACCGTGTTTATATCATCACATTGAAGCCAACTCCATCCATCAAGCCGGCTGAAGCTTCCTCTCCCTCTTCTTTAACTCATCCGCTGACTTTCTTTTATTTGAAGATTGTTTTTTGTCCGGCGCTTGGCCGGTTACCGCTGGTATTAAAAACATTTTGGCGAATGGTTAGGTGGCGAGAAAGTCTGTAGTGAAGCATTAAGAAACTAAACTATTTAACTAAATTCTTTGTCAAAATACCACAGGACCATTTTTTTTTTTAAAGCAATATTTCTAGTGGCCCGAGCGGGCACGTGGGGGGTCTGAACAGCTTCCGGGCCAGCGGGAAGTACGTCCCGCTGGCCCGGGGGGTCTGAACAGCTTCCGGGCCAGCGGGACGTTTATGATGCGCAAGGATGCAAACTCATCAGGTATGAAAAAGGTGACAAGGATCCGAGCCCCCCGACCCCACGGGATATCAGCTTTAAAATGAGGAACAACAGGATTTTAGCAGTCAGAACAACTAAAGCAGTTAATAATAACAGAAACGCCAAAGAGTCACATCTCATAGAAATGTATAAAAGCATGTATTTTAATTGTGTAGCAGTCAGTTTATAATGTTGGCAGCACTGTTGAGCATTTTGAAAATGTATTTTCATGCCTCTGTGCAAGGCTTAGTCTTTCTATCTTTATAGCCAGTGGTGTAAAGTAACTAAGTTCATAAACTCAAGTACTATACTTGGGTACAATTTTGAGATACTTGTAGTTTATTTAAGTATTTCCATGTTCTGCTACTGTGTACTTCTACTCCTCTACAGTTCAGAGGTAAATGGTGTACTTTTCCTCCACTACATGTATTTAATCCCTTTAGTTACTTCACAGATGTGGATGAATGATGTGAAATATAATCAAGTGTTAAATCAGACTTTAGTTCCACCTGGAGTAAATCCACAAGCTACCCTGCAGTATACAAAGTCATTCAAACTAGCTGCACCTTTACCAGCTTTGAGAACACTTTCATGATCAATCATTATAAAACATATCATATATATTATTCTGAAATGGACCAATCTGCACAATGACTACTTTTACTGTACTTTCACTATATTTTGATGAGAATACTTTTCTACTTTCACTTGAGGAACATTTTGAATGCAGGACTTTTACTGTAACAGAGTATTCCTACACTCTGGTACTTCTACTTTTACTCAAGTACAAGATCTGAGTACTTCTACTTTTACTGAAGTACAAGATCTGAGTGCTTCTACTTTTACTCAAGTACAAGATCTGAGTACTTCTACTTTTACTGAAGTACAAGATCTGAGTACTTCTACTTTTACTCAAGTACAAGATCTGAGTACTTCTACTTTTACTCAAGTACAAGATATATACTTATACCACCTCCATTTATAGCCTATGAAAAAAACTAATAGAAAACGAAGGCTAAAGCTAACGTTAGCAGATAGTGACAATGCTAGTTAGCTAGCTCAACGATTCATTAAATAATATTGCGACAGGAACACTTTTCAGTGCACATCACGCTCTGCCGCTCCGACAGGGAGCTCTGCTCTGAACACCTGAAAGGCCCGTTCTAACAGTTGTTCACCAGCGGTCCAGTCTGTGCCACAGTGACTCCGGACCGCACAGTTAATATTAACGAACGCACCCGTAGGTAATGTAGCTGCTGAAGCTAGACCCTCATCCCGGAGCAGCAGAGCCTTATTATACATCCATGAGCAGAGCCGACAGGAAGGCTCGAGCACACAGCTCGCGCTTCATTATCATATATAAACAAATAACACCATGCGTGTCATGATGGCACATAACAGCTCGCGGCCGCAGATTACTCGGGGTCCCAGACCCCCCCCCATACCCCAAAAATATTTTTATTGCAGATCTACATGAATCACACAATCGACCTATTTTGGATTAAAAACGGCGAATTTCGACGAAAGGTGACAAGTTTGCATCCCTGCTGCGGGACGCTTACGATGCGGGACGTTTACGATGCGGGACGCTTACGATGCGGGACGCTTACGATGCGGGACGTTTTTGCTGCGGGACGTTTACGATGCGGGACGCTTACGATGCGGGACGCTTACGATGCGGGACGCTTACGATGCGGGACGTTTACGATGCGGGACGTTTACGATGCGGGACGTTTATGATGCAGGACGTTTATGATGCGGGACGCTTACGCTGCGGGACGTTTATGATGCGGGACGTTTATGATGCGGGACGTTTATGATGCAGGACGTTTATGATGCGGGACGCTTACGCTGCGGGACGTTTATGATGCGGGACGTTTATGATGCGGGACGTTTTTGCTGCGGGACGTTTATGATGCGGGACGCTTATGATGCGGGACGCTTATGAAGCGGGACGTTTTTGCTGCGGGACGTTTATGATGTGGGACGCTTATGATGCGGGACGCTTATGATGCGGGACGTTTTTGCTGCGGGACGCTTATGATGCGGGACGTTTTTGCTGCGGGACGTTTATGATGCGGGACGTTTTTGCTGCGGGACGCTTACGATGCGGGACGCTTACGATGCGGGACGCTTACGATGCGGGACGTTTTTGCTGCGGGACGTTTACGATGCGGGACGCTTATGATGCGGGACTCTGATTGAGAGGGTTACATTTTGGATGGTTTATTTCTAGTCTTTTAATTTCTCTTATTGTCTTTTTATGCAAACATTCCCCGCACTGCGATCAATAAAGTACTTCTTATCTTATCGGATGCTAACCTGCATATGTTGGGACATTTACACAATTGATCAGTTTGAGGTTATTGATCAGTCTGAGGTTATTGATCAGTTTGAGGTTATTGATCAGTCTGAGGTTATTGATCAGTCTGAGGTTATTGATCAGTTTGAGGTTATTGATCAGTCTGAGGTTATTGATCAGACGTAGTAGTTTTAGAAAGAGGGCATTCAGTGTCTCTGTTTCAGGGAGGGATGAAGGGACCGTGATATTTACCCGTTGTTGCTCCTCCTCTTCCTCCTCGTCCTCCTCCATCCTGACAGGTCTAGAGTTGATGTACCACTCCCAAACCCCTCCTCTTCCTCCTCTTCCTCCCCTCTCTCTATCCCTCCTCCTCCTCCTCCTCCTCACTGCCTCCCCCCCTCCTCCTCCTCCTCCTCCCTCCTCTTCCTCTCTCCTCTGCCTCCTCAACATCAGCCTCATCTGGTGGTCGTTCCTCGCTGCAGACGCCATGGCCGCCACCATGGCGACGGTGGCGGCCACGCTGCTGCTGGCGGGCGTCGGAGGACGAAGAGTATATTCCTTAAAGTCGTCTTCAGCGAGGACGGAGTGCAGGATGGAGGCGAAGGGCTGCTTGCAGAGCGGACACTCGGCCTTGTTGTGAGACCACTCCTGGATGCAGGGGAAGCAGAACCGATGGAGACAGCGGTCCAAATACGCCAAGTTGTTAAAACGGTCCAGGCAGATGGGACACTTTGAGTCTGGAGACGCCTCCTCTGGCACTGGAAGAGACGAGGAAGAGGAGGCGAGAGGAAGAGGAGGAGGAGGTGGAGGAGGTGAGGAAGAAGAGGGAGTGGGAGTATTGGGAGTATTGGTGGTGGGTTTCTTCTTCCTCCTGCTGCTGCTGCGAACGCCTCGGCTTCGCTCCTCTTCCTCCACAGGTTCAGCACTTCCTGTCGTTGAAGCCGCCGTGTTGTTGTCCCGAAGACGAACGCGCAGCTTCATCCTGGTGGGCGCCATCTGCTGGAGACACACGGGGATTAAGATTAAAGTTTATCGATATGGCACAGAAGAGTGGGTTTGAGAAGAATATCTCCTGGAGACACACGGGTATTAAGATGAGATAAGATGAGATGGAACTTTATTATGGTTTGATAGATGCCGTTCAAAGCGACAGTTCAAAGAAACTGATATAAATCTCCTGAAAACAGACCGTAGATCAGATATAACTTTATTTTAGTGGGGGTAGTGGTGGTCTAATGGATAGTGAGGTGAGCCAGGAACACCACCACTAGTGTGCCCTTGAGTAAGGCACTTAGCCCTTAGTTACTCCAGGGAGAATGTCCCTGTAATCGGTCATTGTAAGTCGCTTTGGATAAAAGCGTCAGCTAAATGAAATGTAATGTAATCTTATGAATGTGGTATTCAGTGACGTGTATATAGCGCCATCTGCTGGACACACACAGGTATTAAGATAAGATGGAACTGTATTTATCCCCTTGGGGAGATTCAGGCGTTCATAGCTTACAGGAAACCCTTGAACATGTTCCTGTAATACCAGCAGTCTCCCAGCAGGAGGTTTGAGATAAGATGAACTTTATTATGGTTTGATAGATGCCGTTCAAAGCGACAGTTAAAGGGTAAATGCAAAGCTGCAGGAAAGTGTAATCTATGCAGGTTAGAGTCTCTAAAAACAGAGCAGGTTTTATGTTTGAACCGTCCTGGTTACTATATTTACGTTAGATTAAACTTCATCGTTATGGCACAGAGTGCAAGGCCGGATTAACCCCTTGAGCAAGAGAGGGCCCTCAGTGACAAGAGAGCAAGAGAGGGCCCTGAGTGCCAATAGAGCAAGAGAGGGCCCTCAGTGCCAATAGAGCAAGAGGCACAACCTCCCTCATCACATTGTTTTAAATGAAACTCACTCTCCACCGCAATAAATAACTCAGCTTTTCTATAGGGTCAAATTTATATCTTTTCTAAACGTCTCTGTGCTGTAGCTCTCACTATGTATGCGCCGGTCTATAACCGAATCACAACCCCACCTTCACTAGTGTCACATTGACATTGTGTCAGGTGAGCTGAAAGACGTGCCGGTAGCAGCCGAACGCCCAGCGGGGTGGAAAGAAAGAAGAAGAAAGGAAAGGAAGAGAGAGTAGCGGCTGCATTAAAACATTTCCCAACAATAAATAACTTTTTCAAAAAAAGCTAAAAGTGAAGATTTTGGAACAGCAGCCACAAGGACGGTCACGGAGGGTGTTGTTGAGCTAGAGAGCAACGTTAGGATTCTGATGAACTCATCACAGACTTTGCAAAGAAAAGGGACACACACACACACACACACACACACACACACACACACACACACACACACACACACACACACACACACACACACACACACACACACACACACACACACACACACACACACACACACACACACACACACACACACACACACACACACACACACACACACACACACACACACACACACACACACACACACACACACACACACACACACACACACACACACACACACACACACACACACACACACACACACACACACACACACACACACACACACACACACACACACACACACACACACACACACACACACACACACACACACACACACTTGTGTACTTGTACAGCCAGCCAGTCATATTGGCATTTGAAGTGGGGTGCTGCTCTGAGCTTGTGAGTGATATCACCTCGGTCTTCTTGAGCCATACACTGTCTTGAGATCTGTATCTTGGTCTTGTGATGTTTGACTGAGAGGGCGAAAGGCTAGACCTACTTTGGTTGAACGATGTGGCTGCGTCCCTGCTTTTCACAAATAGGTGTGAGATTGACATGCCGGACTGAATGAAAATGTAAAATAGTGGTCATGTTGGGTAGGCGTGTTGTTACGAGGGTTGAGGGACCCTGAGCTCTCAGTGCCCAGGGGCCCCTGAGCTCTCAGTGCCCAGGGGCCCCTGAGCTCTCAGTGCCCAGGGGCCCCTGAGCTCTCAGTGCCCACGGGCCCCTGGAGGCACTAATCCGGCCTTGACAGTGTGGGCATGAAACTGATATCTCCTGGAAACAGACCTGAGATCAGATCAAACTTTATCTAGAGTGCACGAGGTAAACAAAGGAATACACAGGGTTATGAAAATGGTATACAGAGAAGTATATAGTGCTTTATTACACAGGCTAGTAGAATACTGGTTTCTGATTGGTCCATCTGGACATTTCAAAGGTTATTAATACCCAATAGCACACCGCTGCTGAGCTTAATGACTGTTACTAAATGGAGAGAAGAAAGTAAACACTCACTAAACTTTATTCAAATGTATCTCAGACGGTCTAAAGCTTTTTAAATATATAAATACTGGAGGGTCTTTGATTTATTCTGTAGTAAAATGACTTTATTACAGATTTAAAGCTTAATATCAGATCATTTGACAGCAGGGAAGGTCAGTGATCACACCCTCTCTCTGGCATTGGGTTATTCATCCAGTTTAAATCACACCTCAATGTGAGTGCTGCTGTGGGACTAATGGAGGATTTCTGATTTCTACTTTCAGTTTGGGAAACATAGTACTGACCCAGTGAAAGCTTTGTGTTGAGTGTGAGTGTTACCTGCAGCAGGTGAACAACACAGTGACTGAGGTGTAAACAGAGATGTAAACAAACAGATGTAAACAAACACAGATGTAAACAGATGTAAACAGAGGATCTGACCGCATGTCCTTCTCTCTCTGCACCAGAACAAGCTAGCAGAAAGCTAAGCTAGCAGTTAGCATGTTTTTATTTCCTGTTCTCACTTCATAATTTCTGGGTTTAGCTTCTGTGTGTTTCACAGACCGAGGAGGGGGAGGAGCTTCAGGAAGTATAATGTGGATGTTGTGAAGTGATGAGAACACTCAACTCACATCAGAACCTAGTATCTTTTTAACTATTTAGCATTCAAATATAACACTTTCTTTTATAATCTTTATATTTGTGACCTTCTCTTACAACCTGTGTCCTCATCTCTGCACCAGGAGACCCACAGGAGACTCTTTGTGTTAAAAACTGGATAAAAACTCGGTTCTGATTCTGACATTAGAGACAAATACTGGCTGTTAGCCGGTTAGCTCCTGTTAGCTCAGTGTTAGCATGTTAGCTTCTCTGTACCTGATTAGCACCGCTTCTCCGCCCGGTTCTCTCTCTCTTTTCTCCCGGATCTTCCTCCCTCTCCCCCGGGTCTCTCTCCTCCTCCTCACCGTCACAGGCTCCGGTTCTCCGGTCCTTTTCACGCAAATTCTCCCGGTAGAAACGGAGACATTTCACAAACACAGCTGGATCTATAGAGCTGTCGCGGTGGCTGATGGGAAAATGAATTTTTTTGTGTTGTTGGGTCAGAGATCGTGTGTTTGGAGAGATGACGCACTCTCCTTAGTATAATAATCACGTTATTACCATATATTACAATATTAGTATGTTATAACAACATATTTGAATCTCATAACGATATATTTTCATGTTATAACAACATCCTTTAACGTTATAACGAGATATCTTAGTGTTATAACGAGATATTGTCACAATATAAAAAGATATAATGACTTTATACCATATTTTCATCTTAGAACAAGATATTTTAGTGTTATAACGAGAAATCTTTGTTTTAACGTGATAATTTATATATATATATATTTTTTACTAATTGTAAATTAGCGCGCCGCATTTTCGGCTCAGATGAGGCCCCCTCCGCAAGGTGAGGCCCCACGCAGTCTGCATGATCGGCCTGTAGGGAGGGACGGCCCTGAGTGTACCTTACTCTAGGAATTAACATTCACACACCGTTGGCCATCGGGAGCAACTCAGGGTTAAGTATCTTGCCCAAACATCGACATGTTGGCTGCACGGGCAGGGATCGAACCCACAACCTTCTGGTTGAAAGACGACCGCACTCCCTCGCAGCCACAGTCGCCCTATAACAACATATTTAAGCGTATTAACGTGGATTTGTCACAATATTAAAAGATATAGTGACTTTTTACCATATTTTCATGTTATAATGATATATTTTTGTAATAACAAGATGTTTTTGTGTCATAACGAGATATTGTCACAGTACAAAAGATATATTGACTTTATACCATATTTTAGTGTTATAATGAGATTTAGATGTATTCACTTAATAACTTTACAACGACATATTTTTAGTGTTTAGTGTAATAACGGGATATTGTATTGTTATATTAAGATATTTGGTGTTATAACAAGATATCTTGTTGTTATATTGATATCTTTGAGTTATAACGAGATATTTTATTGTTTTTTAAAAGTGTATTATTGTTGTTGTTGTTTTGGTCCAAATTGAAGCTGATAGTTGATAAAAAATATATAGGTTTAATTGTTTTCTGGTATTATAATGACATATTTGACATACAATTGCTAAATAATGACTCATTTCAGTTTCATTTCCGTTTTAACAAACTAAAGGTGTTTTTATCAGAGAGATAACCACACAGCCAGTGAACAAAAGCACAAACAGGAAGTGGTTTCACTGCTCGGACAGAAGAAGAAGAGTTGATCTCATTGTGCCAAGAAGAAGAATGAAGGACACATCTCTCCTGCTCCGTGAGTAACCCTGAACATATAGATGCTTAAAAGTGGGTTTTTGTGTTCGAAAAACTAAATATCATTCAGCGAATAAGAAGATAAAACATAATATTTATGATTAGGGGAATTGTTCTGTAGCAGCTGCAATAAAATGAGAAATTCAGATTAAGTAGGAAAGAAAACATTGAGCCGCAACATTAAAGTGATGAACACATTAATGCTTGAATATCATCATTATTATTATATCACTCTGCACGATGAGTACTTTGATTTTGGGTATATTCAAAGTAATAATTGAAGTTGAAGTGAAGTGTAGGATGCAGGAGTCGTACAGAGTGTTTGCACACTGTGGTGTTACTGCTTTACTGATATCTAGTTCTCTGGTTTGTGTTCAGTGCTGTCCTCCCTGTGCTGCTGCTCAACAGACTCAGGTCAGTACGTTAACCTGCAGCCGGTCAGACTGGAATACATTCAATACTTCATTCAGACATGTTCCCTTATTTTGCCTTTACTGCGATTTGGATATAGCACGAGTCCATATTGTGATTTAGATTATTGATCAAATGCAGCCCTTTTCACCATTATAACCATTTACTTGAATCAGTCAAACTCTATCACTCTGCTGGATAACCAGTTTCTCCTGAGGTTAGCGTGACAGAAGCTAACGAGGCTAAAGGGTTTATCAGTGACTCCATACTGCTGTGAACTTTATTCTGGGACGGGTTTTATAAAGTTTGACTCAGAATCCAATAACTCCCTGCAGCTCGTCTCACGGTGACTCCCAGCAGCTCTCAGGTATTTACAGGAGAACCTGTCTCTCTGAGATGTGAGGACGCCTCTGATGGATGGACTGTGAGGAGAAACACGAGCAGGGAAAGAAGAACTGAGTGTGAAGACTGGGGAAGATCTGCTGGTTCCTCCTGTAACATCAGCTCCATGGACCCTTTGGACAGTGGAGAGTACTGGTGTGAGTCCACAGAGGGATCCACCAGTAACACCATCACCATCACCGTCTCTGGTAAGATCAGCCTCTCTGTTTCCTCATCAATACTAAAAATAATTTAAGAAGTTCATCAGAAAGAGGAAGCTGGACGACCTCAGAGCTGCTAGCTTGTGCTAACCACAGGGTACAAAACACACATTCTCACACAACACACAGCACCACACACACACACACACACACACACACACACACACACACACACACACACACACACACACACACACACACACACACACACACACACACACACACTATCATCCCCTAAAATACACCTCAGTACAGTCTAATTCTTTAGGGACTGGGAAACACTGATTTTATACGTTTTATTGTGTTCTATATTAATTTAAGAGAAAATGCTCTGAGAAAGTCTCTTAATTAGTAAAACTCCAGTCGGTTCTCAGATGCATACAATAACAAGAAGACACAACACACACACAGTACCTGAAAACCCATCATTACCTTGGCTCCGTCTGATTGGCTGTTGCAGGGTTTTTTTAAATGTTGGCATCACTGTGTGACGTCTTCTCTAGTTTCCACTTCAGCAGCTGGAAAGAACAAAAAGGAACAAACATTATAATCAATATAATCTCATTTTTTAATGTGAAATGAGAATATAAAAACATTTTCAAACTCCTTCTTCTTGTCTTTGTTGGAGCTGCTGCAGAGTCTGACCTGTTGGAAGAAACATGAAGATACATCTTGTGTTGCTAAAAGTTTACCTTTAGTGGGTAGAAATATATTATATAGAGTTTATCCTGTCAGAGTAGATGTTGTTTCTGTCTCTGTGTTCAGGTATAGAGTTTATCCTGTCAGAGTAGATGTTGTTTCTGTCTCTCTGTTCAGGTATAGAGTTTATCCTGTCAGAGTAGATGTTGTTTCTGTCTCTGTGTTCAGGTATAGAGTTTATCCTGTCAGAGTAGATGTTGTTTCTGTCTCTGTTCAGGTATAGAGTTTATCCTGTCAGAGTAGATGTTGTTTCTGTCTCTGTGTTCAGGTATAGAGTTTATCCTGTCAGAGTAGATGTTGTTTCTGTCTCTGTGTTCAGATATAGAGTTGATCCTGTCAGAGTAGATGTTGTTTCTGTCTCTGTTCAGGTATAGAGTTTATCCTGTCAGAGTAGATGTTGTTTCTGTCTCTGTGTTCAGGTATAGAGTTTATCCTGTCAGAGTAGATGTTGTTTCTGTCTCTGTGTTCAGGTATAGAGTTTATCCTGTCAGAGTAGATGTTGTTTCTGTCTCTGTGTTCAGATATAGAGTTTATCCTGTCAGAGTAGATGTTGTTTCTGTCTCTGTGTTCAGATATAGAGTTGATCCTGTCAGAGTAGATGTTGTTTCTGTCTCTGTGTTCAGGTATAGAGTTTATCCTGTCAGAGTAGATGTTGTTTCTGTCTCTGTGTTCAGGTATAGAGTTTATCCTGTCAGAGTAGATGTTGTTTCTGTCTCTGTGTTCAGATATAGAGTTGATCCTGTCAGAGTAGATGTTGTTTCTGTCTCTGTTCAGGTATAGAGTTTATCCTGTCAGAGTAGATGTTGCTTCTGTCTCTTCAGGTATAGAGTTGATCCTGTCAGAGTAGATGTTGTTTCTGTCTCTGTTCAGGTATAGAGTTTATCCTGTCAGAGTAGATGTTGTTTCTGTCTCTGTTCAGGTATAGAGTTTATCCTGTCAGAGTAGATGTTGTTTCTGTCTCTGTGTTCAGATATAGAGTTTATCCTGTCAGAGTAGATGTTGTTTCTGTCTCTGTGTTCAGGTATAGAGTTTATCCTGTCAGAGTAGATGTTGTTTCTGTCTCTGTGTTCAGGTATAGAGTTTATCCTGTCAGAGTAGATGTTGTTTCTGTCTCTTCAGGTATAGAGTTGATCCTGTCAGAGTAGATGTTGCTTCTGTCTCTTCAGGTATAGAGTTGATCCTGTCAGAGTAGATGTTGCTTCTGTCTCTTCAGGTATAGAGTTTATCCTGTCAGAGTAGATGTTGTTTCTGTCTCTGTGTTCAGGTATAGAGTTTATCCTGTCAGAGTAGATGTTGTTTCTGTCTCTGTGTTCAGATATAGAGTTTATCCTGTCAGAGTAGATGTTGTTTCTGTCTCTGTGTTCAGGTATAGAGTTGATCCTGTCAGAGTAGATGTTGCTTCTGTCTCTTCAGGTATAGAGTTGATCCTGTCAGAGTAGATGTTGCTTCTGTCTCTTCAGGTATAGAGTTTATCCTGTCAGAGTAGATGTTGTTTCTGTCTCTGTGTTCAGGTATAGAGTTTATCCTGTCAGAGTAGATGTTGTTTCTGTCTCTGTGTTCAGGTATAGAGTTTATCCTGTCAGAGTAGATGTTGCTTCTGTCTCTTCAGGTATAGAGTTGATCCTGTCAGAGTAGATGTTGTTTCTGTCTGTGTTCAGGTATAGAGTTTATCCTGTCAGAGTAGATGTTGTTTCTGTCTCTGTGTTCAGATATAGAGTTGATCCTGTCAGAGTAGATGTTGTTTCTGTCTCTGTTCAGGTATAGAGTTTATCCTGTCAGAGTAGATGTTGTTTCTGTCTCTGTGTTCAGGTATAGAGTTTATCCTGTCAGAGTAGATGTTGTTTCTGTCTCTGTGTTCAGGTATAGAGTTTATCCTGTCAGAGTAGATGTTGTTTTTGTCTCTGTGTTCAGGTATAGAGTTTATCCTGTCAGAGTAGATGTTGTTTCTGTCTCTGTGTTCAGGTATAGAGTTTATCCTGTCAGAGTAGATGTTGTTTCTGTCTCTGTGTTCAGGTAT